AAAAGGAGTTGCTACCTCGGCGGCGGCAGCAAGCTCGGGAAACGCTGCCATTGGTTCCTCTCCGCCGCCACCAGCCGCACGGACACCACGGAGGTCGCCGCCATGGCCTGCAGCCCCGCGGCTCTCCCACTCGCGGGCGCGCGCCAGCTGCGTCCCGCACTCTGCAAAAGCTCCGCTCCGCGCCGCAAGCCTCTTGTCCTCCGCCGGCCACCGTCCAGGTCAGAACCATGGGCTGGGTTCAGCCCAGTGTGGTGGGCGTCTCCCCCGAAACCAATCAAAACACAGAGCAGCCTTTCGGGGCGGCGATTGGCCAATCGGGCTGCGTGCCCGCGGAGGTGTGGTCCCTGCCGCCCCCGCCCCCTGAGTTCGGCGGCGAGCAGGAGGGGGTCGTGCTGTCCCCCGCCGCCCTGGGACCTGGGGTTTCCGAGCGCGGTTCCTCCCCGCCCGCGGGCTCTGCTCTCCCTCGGCTCCGGGTCGGAGACCCCTCCCTGCCATCTGCGTCCTTAAAGCCGTGGGAAGTAGCGGAGGAGGAATCTTGGGGCAAAAGCCAAATGGGGTGGAGAGCAGCACACAAAATTCGTGTTCTCCAAAAATGAAGGGAAAAAGCCAAAGTAAAATAACTAAAATAAAAATGTAAAACCTCCCGAGCTTTTGAAAACGTGTTTTAATTGAACTATTGGGAAAAAGAAGTTAAAACCGGAATTGCAGAATATCTAGAAAATAAAGACACCGAAAGCACAACGCGTAGATGCTGATTCACAGTGAAAGTAAATGCAACGTCCGATTCAAGGGTTACAAAGATACAAAAGCAAACACAAGGCAAGCTGGATAGAGAAACGAGTAAAGATAAAAGAAGAAGAAATGAATTAAGAAAACTAATACTAAAGGAGTAATAAGCCCAGGGATTCGGGGGGAAAAAACACCTGATAAAAGAGATGGTTAACTAATGTAGTCAAAAGAAAGGGGCGTGAACACTTGCCACAATTAAAAACATAAAGGGGGCGGGGGGCTCCGATCTAGAAAACAAACTCAGATTTGTAAGAGGCTAACTTTGCTCGATTTATTTATTTATTTATTTATTATTATTATTTTTTTTAACTTTGCTCGATTTAAGCAAAGAAACTTGAACACCTGGTTGCAATGGATGATGTTACAAGAAAATACAGTTTACCTGAACAGATGCTGGGAGAGAGAGAAAATCTAATCAAGCCATTCCCGTAGAACTAGAGCATATTATTATTATTATTATTATTATTATTATTATTATTATTAAAGAACCACGTTTCCTAAAGCAGGTGGCCCACCTGGGCTCAGCGGGAAATCCTACCCACGCGGTAAAGAGGTTGACTCCAGTGCTGGGAGCCTGTCCCCAGCGAAGGGGAAACTGAGTCTTCCTCATTCTTTTTATGAAATAAGCATAACATTGGCACCCACATCTAGCAAAAATAGGGTGCACGCACACACACGCACACACACACACACACCCCTGTGGTTCAATTTTCCTTATCATGATCAATGGGAAGATCATTGATCATTGATGGTACAGCATGGTGACTAACGTTTCGAACACCGCGGTGACACTTGAATTTGCTGAGCGAGTAGATCTTAAGGGTTCTCACCGCGCGCACTGTGCGGGGCGATAATGTGTTAACCTGATTGCGGCCATCACTTCACTATGTGTACATATACAAAATCATACACACCACACTTCAAATCCGTGCAATTTTATGTTTATACCTCAATGAAGTCAGTAGAGCTGGTGGTTGAGGGAGGAACTGAACAAGTATAAAGAAAAAACAAGAGGCGAGGGCGTGCCAGCCAGGCTGGCGGCCAGCCCCGGCTCCTGCGGGCGCTGGTGGTTGAGCCCCCACCATCCCCGCTTCCTTCCGCGGT